ACTGCTGTCAAGCTGTATTTACTGAAGTTAGCTGGAGCCAGTGAAAAACTTATTCTGGTAGTTACAGAGTAAATAAATGGCAGATTGAAGCCAGGTGGTGATGGCACATGACTTTAATCCCAGCGCTTGAGAGGCAGAGGCAGAGGAATTTCTGTGAGTTGGAATCCAGTCTGGTCAAAGTGAGTTCCAGGACAGACTCCAAAGCTACAAAGAAACCCTGTCTCGAACCTCCCCCACCCCAAAAGAAAAAAAAAGAGAAAGAAATGGCAGGTTGAAATTGGCATGCCCAAAGTATGAGTTCTCAAAAGGTGAATTATTCTGCTGGGAAATATAACAGTGGCTTCACTGAATTTGGGATTGGGGCTACCACATAGATGCTTTTGTTCGTATGGAAACTAATGTGCTCAGAGCAGTGGAGCCATCCTTCCTCAGGTGGATGATGTTGATAGCCACAGGAAATATGGATGCTCTGTATGTAATGGAAGCAGGAAATGTTGTGTCTGAAACCTTGGGAAATTCTTTGGGCACCACTTACTACTTCCATGCCCTCAAATAAATTGTTAATTTAAAGGACAATAACCATATAAGCTGACAAGTATTCAGATTCCCAAGTAGTGAAAGGGTCCCATTCAGCTGATGACTGCCAAGTGCAAGGGGAATCTCGGAGAAGCAGAGGAAGGAGTTACAACAGTCACCTTGGCTAAATGGTTACTTAGAGGGACTGGAAGAACATGGCATTGAGGTATTTTGGTACAATGGAGGAAGTTGGGATGGTGGTGGTGGGTGATGCTAAAGCTTTCCTATGGAGGTAGAGAGGTAATAGAGAGGTAAAAATAACTGAATGAAGTAGGAGTCTGGACTTGTGTATGTTCACTTGAGGGTGAATTGAACATGGTTTGGGGGAATTCATCTTATGTTGCCATGTGTACATAGTTGGGTCATGCAAGTTTGATTTAAATTAGTAACATGCCTGTATATTCTAGGGCCCACTTAGAGGGAGCTGTCTTAGAGCCAAAGTATATACCAGGGGACTCTTTCTCAAGCACATGTCTTTGATGATGGTACTCTGTTTAAAAACATCTAGGGACCTCTTGTGGAAAACTGTGGACAAAGTGTTTATAGTCTTTGATATCTTCTTTGGATCCTCCTGACTCCTTTATCACCTCCTCAAATTCAAGGTGTATTGATAGAGGACCTTGGTAATGAGTAAACACCCAGCCATCAGCTTCTTCCACTCCTACTATTTTCCCAAAGTATATTCATGTGTAATAAGGGGCTATAATCAGAAACACATGCTTGTAGAGAATTGGTTCTAGAAGGATCCTGGATAATTGCTTTGTTTTAAATGAGTTCCTCTAGGACTTTGACTCCGCTGGGATGCAGAACCCCCTAGGACCAGGGATGAGCAGAATGGGAAATGTGAGCAGAGTTGATGTACACACAGGTGACAGTTTAGAGACCATTCTTCATATGCCTATAATGGCTAAATGGGAGCAGAATCTTAGACCTGGTCCTGGAGTCACCCTGAGATATTTCTGGGTAAGCTGGCTGGAGGGTGATTCAGCTGATGTCTTAGTGTTCTTGTAACCTGAGGTTTTTATTTTATTGGTTTTGTGACATTCTATGGGATTTATTTATGTCATTTATTAAGGACAGTATTTATTAATACAATAATTAAATGCACTCTTACAAGTTGAATCATTTCAGCACGATGGCATCACTGTGAGGTAAACATCAGATACACATGTTTTTAACCCTTGGTTATATTGGCTATATTATTGAAATACTTAAGGAACTTTAGAATACTTTAGACAGCCTCGATCTTAGAGGTTATGATCATCACATTAATTGGGGGAACAGTTGAGAATATTCTGCTTAAAGAATATATCATATCATCTTATCATTCTAATTGTGCTCCCCAGACCAGCAAAATTATCACTAAATGTAAAGTTGAACTTCTAACATGTTGAATTTTAGTTTCTAAATCAAGCCTACCATGTCAACATCAGCATTTAGCAAAGCAATTAGGTTCTCCACACATAAAATATGTTTTAAACACCCCTGTGTTTTATTTATTTTTGAGAGCTGGGGATTGAACTTACTGTCTTGGGGCATGCTAGACCAGCACTCTCCTACTGGGCTATGTCTCCAGCTAGAAGCTCTGTGCTTTATGACTCTTATTTGAAGCTTTGGCTGAGAATGCCATATGTACAAGGTGAGGGAGATGAGAGGCACTATCATGGGAATGGCTCAAACTTATATTCTTAATGACTAGTACTGACTTCCAGGTGATATCCCTCAGTTTTGATTTATTATAACATCTAGTTGCCAAATTGAGATCTTTGTCATTTCCCAGGAACACAGCATTTTGAGAGGCTTCATGTACAATATTCTAATGATTTTCCTTATTGTAGCACCAACATATTATATCTAAATGTATAGAAACAAGAAAGCAAGCAAGCACTATCAGTGTGGCTTGACTAAATAGCACCCGCAGGGTGAACATTCTAGCTTTTGGATTCAGTTGTTTATCTTTAGAGGAACAAGGTTCCATGCACCTCATTGTTTCTCTTCAGTTTTTAGTTAGTTCTGAAGCGCACCCAACATATGCTTGTATCTAGAGAGAGATTGGAGTATGGTCTAAAGAGTAGAAATTACCCCTTTTCCTTCCTTTCCTCCCAAATAATTAAATCTATCACATTATTTTCATCCCAATATCATAAAATCACAAATTTATCAAAATAAAGGACAAATTATTTGTGAATAATGTCTGACAGTGGTAATTTAGGGTAAAAAATATCATGCTTAGGCAGTATAATATTTTCCATGGGCCAGAAGTTATACCCAGGAATTATATAATAAGATGTCCAATGCTAATGCTATATAGTTCAAGTTAGAGACTCCTTCTGGGAAGGTATAATAGCAGTGATCAACTTAGATGAGTGTTTGCAGTCCTTGAAGTTGAAGGAATCTGTGTCTTAGTCTAAGGGACAGCCAACAAAAATTCATGAAACACTGGTCATGTTCAGGCACCATGCCAGGTGCTGTCCATGCCACAAGATGGCAACACTGTCTTTTCCTGCAAGGAGGCTACACGGGGGGAGGGGAAAGTTAGCTGGACCAGTGATTAGGGACTAGAGTGCCATGGGATGAACATAGGATGCAGTGGAAACATGAGAGAGAGAGTCTTGTCTAGAAGGGCATGAACGATTAAGTCATGAAGTCACTCTATTATGCATGGAGGGTAAATGGAGGAGAAGCCAGGTGAGGTGGAAGCACAGGGAAGGTGAGTCCAGACAGAAAGAAAAGCTGGTGTGAAGAGACTGTGACTGAGTAGTCACACTTTGCTGTGTAGGACACATCTATGCAGTGGGTCACATGATAATGTGGAGACAGGCAAGTGACAATTCTCCTGGAACACTTTGCCTTTTGTGCTTTAAAAAAATTTCACCTTCATCTTAAAAACAGTGAGCATTCATGAAGCTTTTAGCATGGTAATGATTACCAGATTTTTCATCCCAGATATCTAGAGAGGGAAGAAATTGAACTACAGTAAGCATGGAAGCAGGGAATTGAAATTAAAGCTGATCTAACCATCCAGTTATAATATCAGCTCAGTCAAATTCAGGAAATGAGATAAGCATAGTTCAATTATATGCTGGGCATAGCATGACATGATGCAATCCTAGCATTCTGGAGTTGAGGACAGAAGACTGCTTAGTTTGAGGCCAGTATGGGACTACATAGCAACTCAGCCCTAAACAAACATTCATATCATACTCTTGGAGGCTTCAGGAGCACTTTGGAAGAGATGGAGAAAAGAATGCAAAAGGTAGAATGTAGGGAGAAGGGTTGTGAAATGCCATCTTCTAGACAATACAGTGATTGCAACCATGAGCTCTTAACAATTATGCATGACTGCATTAAGTGTCTACATAAGAATGGCCCCAACAACAGCCAGGCATGTGTAGGGTTCTACCTCTCATCACTGAACTATTTTGTACTGTTAGATTCAGGGAAAGGGAGATCATTGTCTTTGGTTGGGTACACACTGATGACTCTACCAAACTCTAATGGATAGTTCCAATCTAGTGGTAACACAGATGTCCCTAGATAAGCTAAATAAGTCACAAAACAAATGAAAAGTCATGAGTCTGTGAGAGGGACAGACAAGAACAAAACAGATGGTTAATAGGATAGGGAAGCAGAAAAGAGAGTAGGGGAGGGGAGAAAGTAACTAGAATACATTATATACACGAATCAAATTGTCTAAGAATTAACTAAATTAATAAAACCTAAAAAGACATAAAATGGGGAGGAAATAAGGGAGCAGGGAAGGTAGAAAAATACAGGATAAAGGGAAGCACAAAATCTGTAGGACTTTCAAGATTGTTAGAGAAACATATGTAAGAAAGAAAACATTTTGGATTCTGACTTGAGCCTAGATTCCATTCACACTGAGGTATGAATGATGGAGGAGTGGGTTGGGAAAAGGTCAGGGGGAAATGAGGTTTGATGATGTGAAGATGGGCTGGTAAGTCCAGGAGAAGCTAATTACTCAGCACTTGATGGTTCGGTATCAAAGCTGGTAGGTGTGTCCATGAAGTTTGGATGGCAACTGATGCCATGGGAGCAATTTGAGGGCTGGACGTACATAATTAAAGGGAAAAATGTTCAAAACTGTGCTCCAGGAAACACTGATATAGAATATACTGTTAAAAAGCAGCCAATTGCAGTTACTGAGAATGAATGGTACTACTATCATCAGGAGAACTGGAGACCACAGCAGTAACCCATGAATATGTTCTAGATGGTTGAGAAGGGTCAATGTTGTTGCTTCTAATGCTGATGGGGAAGTGTGCTAGATGACTGACATGGTGTAATTCTGGTTTCAGATTCAAATTTCAGGTATGAAGATGAGATTAAGTATTTGAGAACATGCCATACATACGCTTTTACTTGGATTTTAAGGGCATCTTATTTTGTCTTAAAGATCCTAGATGCAGGGAAACACAAAAAAGAACCAAACTGTCATCTCCCAGTTCCTCCTCCTGGGCCTGCCCATCCCATCAGAGCACCAGAACCTGTTCTATTCTCTATTCCTGGCCATGTATATCATCACCATCCTGGGGAACCTGCTCATCATCGTCCTCATTCAACTGGACTCCCATCTCCATACACCTATGTATTCTTTACTCAGCAACTTGTCCTTCTCTGACTTCTGCTTTTCCTCTGTCACAATGCCCAAATTGCTGCAAAACATGCAGAGTCAAGTTCCATCCATTCCCTATGCAGGCTGCCTGGCACAAATGTATTTTTTCCTGTTTTTTGCAGATCTTGAGAGCTTCCTCCTTGTGGCCATGGCCTATGACCGCTATGTGGCCATCTGCTTCCCCCTCCATTACACCAGCATTATGAGTCCTATGCTCTGTGTGAGTCTGGTGGTGCTGTCCTGGGTGCTGACTACATTCCATGCCCTGCTGCACACCCTACTCATGGCCAGGTTGTCATTCTGTGAGGACAATGTGATTCCTCACTTTTTCTGTGACATGTCTGCTCTGCTGAAGCTGTCTTGCTCTGACACCCATGTTAATGAGTTGGTGATATTTATCACTGGAGGCCTTATTCTTGTTATTCCATTTGTGCTGATCGTTGTATCCTATGCACGAATTGTCTCCTCTATTCTCAAAGTTCCTTCTGCTCGAGGTATCCGTAAGGCCTTCTCCACCTGTGGCTCCCACCTGTCTGTGGTGTCACTGTTCTATGGGACAGTCATTGGTTTGTACTTATGCCCATCAGCTAATAATTCTACCGTGAAGGAGACTGTCATGGGCATGATGTACACAGTTGTGACTCCCATGCTAAACCCTTTCATCTATAGCTTGAGGAACAGAGACATGAAGGGGGCCCTGGTTAGAGTCCTTTGCAAGAAGAAAATACTTTTCTGTCTATGATGGTAGCTATTGGGATTTTAAAATAATTCATCAAGTGCATATATTCACTTTGATATTTGAGTATTATTGTAGACCTTGTCATCACATCATAAAACATTCTGCTCAAATGAAATATTTCAGGATTGTTCAGTATGTAAAGTGTCTGCAGAAATAGCACTACTGTACAGAATAACTCCACACAATACATGTTGCAATTTAGATGCTTTGTGGGCCAGATGTAGCTCATCTAGCTATTCATACCATGCCCAGCAGTGTTTGTAGAACTCAGGAGAATCTCTGAATTGGGTTTATATATATATATATATATATATATATATATATATATATATATGCAATTTTCTTGGATCCTGGTATTGTCTATGATTCATGTTGTCTGAGCCTATAGTCACTGCTATTGCCTTGATTCCAGATAGTGTTCTGAATCAAGGTTTGTGAATCTGTTGCAGACTTACAGCCTTATAAAATAGTACCCTGGAAAGTCAGATTCTGACAACTTTAGGAGAATACAACTCTGTAGCCAACCACTGCTCTATAAGTGACTCAAAGGAGCTATTCTTTAGAGTATTGGTGCAAGTCCTTGGTATGGTCAGACATTAATTTACATTTCTCCTAAAAATGCCCCAAGAAGTGATGTGTAGTTGATATAAAAGTGGGTACCAGTAACTTTCTAGAACAGTTTTCCTGGTCAGCATAATGTAAAATTGTTTAATTGAAATTCTTTCTTATGTTGCCAAATTCAGGTATTAATGATATCTTGTCTTCCCATGTCCAAATTGACTTGCCTGAAATACTCAAGTCTTGTTCTCACATTACTGAAAAAATTGAAAAATTAACTTGTTATAAAAACAAGCATAAATACTATTTGAGCCAACGATTCAGAGAAGCAACCAACCAAAGCTCATATCTGCAATGGCTCATGTATAGGGCACATATAACTATTTATGCTTATTTTGCTAAACAGTGTCTTTCATTAATAAAAATTCTTACTATTCCTGAGAATGTGTCCTTACCTTTTATTACTTCTTTTTTGTTCCAATGTCTGCCTTGTCTTTTTTTCTTTCACCTAATCTACATTTAACAATGAACTGTTTGCTTTGTGGTAACAGTTTTGATTTATGTTTACCCAGGAGCTGACCTATACCAGGACCTAAAAAGCTTCTTTCTTGCCTTGAGAAGGAAGTTGGAGTCTGCTTATCCTCCTGGAAGATCTTCTTTTCTTCCTTGTAATTTCAAAATTATTGATAAGTTTTGCAGGCATGCTTTGTAGTAGTCTGGTGGTGATGTATGGTGGAAAGTAAATCTGGCTCAGATTATTCAAATCTGGATGGAGATTCTCCCTAAACTCCCCATAGCTTCAGAAGTAGGATGAGTGGCCATTCATTATTTAGTTTGATCTACATGAACATCATTGTATATTTCTCCAACCTTGGTCCACTTATTTTTTCATTTTTGCCTCTAATTGATGACATCTACATGATTTCATAATTCTATAATGATCACATCAATGCAGTTCAGACCTCCTCCTGTCCCTACTTTTACTCTCTGCCAGTAGATGGCTTTATTGATGCTTTATGACAAGCAAGGACTGGAACACTTTATTATCTACCTATGTTTTCTCTTTGTTCTACATTCAACTCCTTGATTCCCATAGTGTACTATGAAGTTTCTAGAAAGCATTAACTTCTGTATGTATTAATAGACACATATTAAAATGGGTTAATATTGACAGTCACATGAGAAGAATGAAGTTGGACTGGTACTTCATAACAAAACTGACATTTTTCTTGAATGAGTCAAAGACTAAATGATTGACATATGATGCACATATGAACAGTTGAAATGTGGCCTGATTTGAAGAAATCATGGAATATAAAAAGGGAAGTGAATTTAAGAATAAGACAATAGGTTTCACTATGAATGTGAGGGGTTTATAGTGACATAAATAGTTTCAATTCCACATGTTACTATATATATATATATATATATATATATATGTGTGTGTGTGTGTGTGTGTGTGTGTGTGTGTGTGTGTAGTTTGCTGTTGCCTTTTCTAGTATTTATTGTTATTATGCCTTAGGACACAGCACAAACAAAATAATACCAAACCTCACAAGGAACAGAAGGAAGACTCTATCAATGAAATTTTTTTTGTGCAAAACAATGGGCACTTCCAGGGATGTTTATAAATAACTCATTAGTGACATTTGCATAACAGCTGGTATTTAGAAAGTGAAAAGTATGTTTACAACTCAATGAAAGAAAGACAATGTATTATAAAAAGACAGGAATTCAGTAACCATTTTTCTATATGACTACATAAATGTTAAATAATGAACATATTATAAAATAATACTCAGCATCATTAGTCATCCACTACTGATGATAAAATTATCAAAGAAAACTTCATAATCACCAATTATGTTGATTTTTGTTTGTGAAATGGAATATAAGTGTTTATGAAAATGGAGAGAAATTAGAACTCTCCTACATTACTGGTGAGAATAGGAAATGATACAGCTGCTTTGGAAAATATTATTTATCAATTCCTCAAAAATTGAAAGTAAAATTACCACAAGGATCAGAAATTACATTTCTAGGTATATTTCATGCCTAAAATAATTGTGATACTCAAGCATTTGTACATGAAATGTGTATAGCAGTCTAATAGACTGAAAAAGGAGAGTACCCTCAGCTGAAGATTGGATAAAAAAACTGGGCCTCTCCAAACAATGAAACAATCAGCAACAGAAGTAACTGAAGGGTTGCTATATATTGACACATGCATTTGTCTTGAAAATAGTAAGTTAAAAAGTTGCAGTCAGAAAGACCACCTAGTGCATGATCCTAGTTGAATGAGGTATAAAACATAGAAAATGCCACCAAGATATAAAGTAGAATGGAATTGACAGTTCCTGGGTCAGGAGTGGGCCTAGGAAAATGAAGAGTAGCTACGGAGAGGCACAGGATTTTTGTCCTGGGGAATAACAAACAAACACTAGACTTAGGGAGGCAAAGTATCTTCATGCCAAAAATTAATTCTATGTGCTAAGTAAATGCACATGGATAAAGAAAATGTGGTATATATACATAATGGAATATTATTCAGCTATAAGGAGGAATGAAGCGATGAATTTGCAAATAAATGCATGGACCTGGAAAAGATTATATTGAGTGAGATAACCCAGACATGCAAAGGCAAACACCTGCAGCTCCTACCCCAAATCCTCAGCTATGAGTATACATTATGGAGTAACCACAGAAACCAGGAGAGTATAAAAGGACAAAAGGTGGTTGTGGGCTTGAAATGGGAATAGTAGGATATGAATCGTGTGAGTAGGAAATGATAAAAACAGGGAGGGGCCTCCAACTATGGACTAGGAAGGCTGTCAATAAAAAGGAGAAGGAAAGATAAGGAGCAAACAAAACCAAAGTTATTTGATAAAGCCTCAAGGAATCATAGTGATATATGTATATATCAGTATTTGTGCTGACAATGTTCAATTCTCCCCACAAAAGCTGTAGACTAAGAAAATTCCCAATATCAGACATGAAAAAAATCTCATTTTAAATGGTTGGTAAGGGTAGTCCAAGTGACTCCCAAAGTAATAAGGGTTATCTATGTTGCCCTTGGTTTCCTCTCAGGGGTTGAGGTGGGCCCCATTTGCTGAGCTAACCACACACTTAGGACATAGAACTCAGATGATTTGAGCAGACTCTGAGCTGAGACTCTCTTTCCTGAGGTAACGCCTCCCTGGTACCAGAAAAAGACTATTCAAGTTGTTGAAAGAGGGAAGTGATTAGAGTCCCATCCACCTGCGACACCTATGAATCATGTCAATTATCAGCATGGCAAGGTATGCATAAACGTTCAGTAAGTGGCACTCATATGTTGGTAGTAGCCAGCAACTGTTTAATCAGGTGTAAAGCCCACTCCAATGGAAAAGCTCCTTTATTGGTTGTCCAATGTAGAGTGGTCAGCCTTGAAAACATATATGGACAAGTAACAAATCTGAACTGAGGCCATATTTATACATCTTCATACACACAAACATATATGTAACAAATATAGCAAGAGAAAACAAGTTCATCAACTCAAGAGTGGGGGGCGTGGGAGAGGTTCACAGGAGGGAGAAGTCAATGTAATCTTATTTCAAATAAAAGCATCCCTAAAAGAAAGGTAGCAGAAGATGATTCTGGGAGCAAACCAGTGGACAACTTTCCTCTGTGGCTTCTGCATCAATCTTGTGCCTTGCGTTCCTGCCCTGCCCTGGCTTCCACAGATGTTGACTGCAACCTGTAAGCCAAATACACTGCTATCTCTTCAGCTTGTCTTTGGCAATGGTAGTATACTGAAGGAACTGGGAAGCAAACTGTCATAGTCTGCTGTGTTCCTCTTCTGTTTTCTTAATTTATTTTTTAAAAAAATTATTGTTGTTCACATCAATGTGGAATAGAAATTGAAATAACAACAATAAATATTCAAAGACATAATAACAATTAACTCTATGGAAGTGAAGATGTAGACTTTTAAAGAAAAAGGGTTTTATGTGTTATATAAACACTGAAGTAAAAGTAAGTAAATATAAAACGTTTGAATGTATAGAACTTCAAATTTGGAAAAAAATAATCCTACAAGAGGGAAGATGGTCTTCTGAGAGTGGATAGAATATGTACTAGAGGAGCCAGATATTTTCCACAGGTACTTTAGAAAATGGGATTTAAATGGTCACATAGTGCTCACAAAATTATACACTTAAAGAAGCTTTAAGATAACAACTTGATTCAACAAAACAAACCAAGGAAGTAGTCAAAAATAAAAACTCAAACACTAGCAAGTTATGTTGGAAGAGTGCTGTAAAAACTAATTTTTGATATAAGAAATGCTAATATAAAATGTTATACTAACAAATGAAAATAAGTGACGAATACAAACAGGATAGTTTATCATTAAAAACAAAGAGAAATAGCAAAAACTCCCAATATGACTTATAATATAAAAG